CTTTGTATTAAGTTGTACAAATATCACTACTCGCATCTTTCATAACAGGAACTTCCACTAATACACAAAAAAATTACCATTTTATAACTTATCTACGAATAACTTTGTATTAAGTTGTACAAATATCACTACTCGCATCTTTCATAACAGGAACTTCCACTAATACACAAAAAAATTACCATTTTATAACTTATCTACGAATAACTTCCACTAATACACAAAAAAATTACCACCTTATAATCTTGTCCAGGTATAACTTCCGTATCTAAGAATTACCATTTTATAAGTTATCTACGAATAACTTCCATTAATATACCAAGAATTACCATTTTATAAGTTATCTACGTATAACTTCCACTAATACACAAAAAAATTACCACTTTATAATCTTGTCCAGGTATAACTTCCGTAGCTAAGAATTACCATTTTATAAGTTATCTAAATTCTACTGATATATCCAATAATTACCATGTTATAACTTATATAAGTATAACTTCCATTAATATACCAAGAATTACCATTGTATAACTTATCTACGTATAACTTCCATTAATATACCAAGAATTACCATTTTATAACTTATCTACGTATAACTTCCACTAATATCCCCAAGAATTACCATTTTATAACTTATCTACGTATAACTTCCATTAATATACCAAGAATTACCATTGTATAACTTATCCACGAATAACTTCCATTAATATACCAAGAATTACCATTGTATAACTTACCTACGTATAACTTCCACTAATATACTAAGAATTACCATTTTATAAGTTATCTAAATTCTACTGGTATATCCAATAATTACCATGTTATAACTTATATAAGAATAACTTCCACTAATATACCAAGAATTACCATTTTATAACTTATCTACGAATAACTTCCATTAATATACCAAGAATTACCATTGTATAACTTACCTACGTATAACTTCCATTAATATACCAAGAATTACCATTTTATAACTTATCTACGTATAACTTCCATTAATATACCAAGAATTACCATTGTATAACTTATCCACGAATGACTTACATTCCTTTACACATATATTACCACTAAGAAACTCATTTACCAAAGTATTACCATTAACCAATTTATCTAACTCTTCATTTACAAAAGTATTATCACTAAGAACTATAGATAGTATGGTAGTCACGAATTATATTATTACTTTTAGACCTAAACCAACTGTTAGTATATTTCAATTTGACTACTGAAAATGATGCATTTTTAAAACTATAAAATATGTAAAGAAGAGCAGTGGAAGTAGAGTTTAGTGAACCGAACTCTTTTAAGAAACTAAATCTCAGGAAAATGTTGGTTTTGTCATTTCTATAAACTCTAAACATATATATGTATCGGTTGTTTATTCTAAATTTTAATCAAAGCTACTCGAGGGTCATCTGCGCCAGTCGTCCCTAATTTTGAAGTAATAGACTAGAGGGACTTTTAAGAAATCTTCAATTGGTGGTATGTCCAGGGTATTACTGTTGAAATGTTTATTTAAAAAAATGTTTCGTTAATTAGATAATAAAATTACAAAATTATTTTCATTTTAAGATCGAACTCTCGTCTGTTTCATTCGCTTTACAAACTTATCGGTGAAAGATTTTATTTTAGTTCATTGAATAGTCGGGTGGTGGCATTTCCAAACGTACAAAAATGCGAAAAAAACTTAAGTGGTAGGTGTAGTTAAAATATATATATCTATATAAATCACTTGAGAAACTGTTGTGAAAACATCAGAGTTTAAAATTTAAAGCATTATAAAAAGGTTTTAAAAAGAGGCAGTTTTAACGTGTTATTTATAAATAACAAATTAAAATGAAATAATTTGTTATTATCAATGTTACACTTATTTGATGCAGCACCTTTATACAGTCTGCTATTGCTTTAACAGGCAAGAAACTGGAAATGACACTTAGTGTAGTGACGTTTGGTCACCTGAGGTCGCTGTACGCTTCGCTGATTATTTTGCTTAAATTAGAGGTTTGGTGAGGTAAAGCTGTTCCACCTCTCAAGCTTCTTGAATTTCATTCGATGCAACGTAGCTATTGCGTCACGTAAATTTTACCTATGAAAGGGAAGATCGTGAATTTAAGGCTATCCACAAAGAAATATAACGGAGTTGAATTCGCAGTTAAGCACACTTCTGCACGCGGAGCTCGTGAGGTAATATTCAGGGTAGCACTGGGACCAGCCGTATTTTAACAATGCATTTTCTTACTGTTGTACTGACAGGGTTTCTTCTAGTAGGTAAGCCTTAACAGCCTAATGTTATTTCAAGTTTACGATAGAAATGAGTTGGTATGTTGTTGAGTCTAACTTAATATTTGTTCTGTTTAAAACAGATGGATATTTAGAAAAAGTAAGTCTATATCTATATATATATATGTAAATACTGAGGAACAAGACAACATATATTTATACAATAGAGACATGTTTTCATTGTTGAACACATTCAAAGCAAATGCCAAGAGCTTTAAGTTTGACTATGGATTATCGTCTTGCCTCCCTGTCAAAACTTTAGTTGTTTATACTTTATACCATAGTATAAACCTGTCGAATGTTAAATCTACAGATATCAGGGTTTTTTTTTATTTGCTTGACATTTATGTTTTCTTGTTTCATTTGACAACTACAGAAAGCAGATACTGGTTATTTTACAACAGTGTTCCTTGTTTCTGTAGCAGATAGAAACGTAGACTAAATGTTAGATACTGGTTATTTTACAACAGTGTTCCTTACATTTAGTCTACGTTTCTATCTGCTACAGAAAGCAGATACTGGTTATTTTACAACAGTGTTCCTTACATTTAGTCTACGTTTCTATCTGCTACAGAAAGCAGATACTGGTTATTTTACAACAGTGTTCCTTCATTTAGTCTATATTTCTATCTGTTATCCCTGGATTTGTCCTCTGATGGCTCAGCGGTAAGGTTTGTAGCTTATGAGGATATAATTCGGGGTTCGATTCTGGTGGTTGTCGTAGCACAAGTAGCCCATTGTATATTTTTGATCTTAATAATAAAGAAACAAAACCCTTGAACCATTTTGCTTCTCTTTGACATTAATATCTGCTTCTGGTTAGCCTAACGAACCATGCAAGTTTCGAGAATGTCGGACAATGGAGAAGACCTTGCAAAAAATTATATTATACTTCTTTTGTGGCTAAGAAACTTTGTAACCATAATAACGTATAACAGCATTTTATAATAAGATATTCCATCTAGCTTCACATTGCTTCTTTGACAAATAATTTGATCATCAAAAATATTTTAATTTTTTTTTCAGTTTACCACTTGCATTTTTCTTGCACGAGGACATTTTGAAATAGTTCGATCTTTTAACACTCCTGTTTCGTTAGTCGATATTCCATTACATAATATCCATGTGCTATTCCTAACCTATTAACTCTTTACTTTTATACAGGAGGAATTGAAGCAGAAATCTGTGTTAGTTGAATTTATGTGCTGTTTCGAAAAAAAAAGTTTCGTTGTTAACTGTTTCACCTGACATATAACCCATATGTTTATATTTTGTTCGTATTCATTATGCATTGAGTATTATTTGTTTTGTTTTACAAAAAGAAATGTAATTTAGTATTTGTTAGAAATATGTATATACGACAAGAAGAACTAAAACAATTAAACGTACACAACTATGTAACCAATAAATATAATAGTACTGTCTGTTGTATATCCATTTAACTACATCGCAGGATATGGTTGGATCTTCACCAAAATTGGTATGAAAGTTCAATAGGTCCATGCGGGGGTACATAAAAATTTTCAGTTTTGCATTTTGCGGTTTTGATGGGCGTTTTTTATCACTACTTGGCCCCCTGTTGATGGATCTTTACCAAATTTGGCATCAAGGTTTGTTGGG